TTGAAGTGGCATCCAGCCAAACAATTAATGAAAATTAATGGTAGATTCACTTTAACATTTATATGAGAAGCATAAGATTATCTTCAAAGTCGACAAACCATTGTAGGTATTTAATATTTTTAACCCAATGGAAAAACCCAATCTGTATGCATGTGAAACCAAAGATAAGAAACATTCCAGAATTGATTGCATTCTAATTGTATAAGCCTTTGCCATCCATACCAAGAAATAGCACCCAATGAAACAAATGTAACTTAATTACGTAAATGGTTCATTGGTTTCAAATATGGTTTGAAACATTAATCTAATAGAGGGGATATATGTTTGTAGACATAAATAAATTTGAACACATACTTTTGTTGATATGACTGTGCTAATAAATGTAAATTAATATGAATTTGTGCAACTACAAATAATAAAAAGAACACTTTAAAAATTCATACCGCTTCATCACTTTGTGTGGTCTCTTTCCTCTTCACGTTATTGTAAAAGAACTCATTTCAGCGTCTGAATTTCTTCATGAATTGACACATTTACCAGGTGTAATCCAAAAATACCGCAACTAACAAAAACCAGTATCACTGCCAGTACTGTGTTCTTGAATTAACAAAGTTAGACCATAATTAGTCGAAGTACCATTATCTCAGCCAGACTTCTCAGATAGATATTTACGAATACTGAGTGAGCCCTGTTGATTGCTTGCCTTCGAACTTTTGCAAACTCTAAAAAACATACATATACAAAGAAATATTGTTCTCATATATGAAATTTTAAAATTGTACTAAACTATGGCACTGAAATTTCTCTCTTAAGTTGCAACAGTTGTATTTGCGGTTATACATGCCACTTTACGACAGAAACTTACCACATGTTGCATTTACGCCATGTTCTAATAACAAAAACCATGACCAGCCGACAATTTAAAGAAATATGGTACAAAACAAATTCCGAAGAAGCAAGACATCTTGAGATTGCAAAATATGCATCAAAACAAGACGTGAAGTGAACTGTAAATTTTCGACTTTATTTCAAAGTCATCCTCGGACAGAATGATATTTAAAACCATACATACAAATATATATTTACAACGCAGGAAATGAGTAAACGGAAGTAAGCAATAGAAATAATAACAAATTTTAATAACAAATTTGGCGCGATTCTCATTACTTCAAGTAAGTGAAAGTCAAAAGGAGTCTACAACAGGGTTGCCAGATTGGCCTTTTGGAGGCCAAATAACTCAAATTTGGCTTCTTTTTTCCTTGCTTGGCCTCAAAAAATAAATTTGGCCATTTGGCTTCTTTTTGGCTTCTTTTTGCTTCCCACAGATTTTTAATGTCATTACTACTAAGTTTCACAGTTCTTTCGCAAAAGATAAACGAAATGGTTCTATTCTGTCACTACTTCCCAGGCTCTTTGCGCCGGTCATAGGCTCATAGCATCATTATATTTTCAACATGGCAGCCAAATGGAAAGCATCATATGAATCTGGAAGAAAATATACCAAAAGGTGGGAGAGCAAATTTATCTGGCTTTCGAAAGCAACAGATGGAAGTGAAGATGGGTATTGTAAGCTTTGCCATACTCAAATAAAGCCCAAACTATCAAATTTGACTAAGCACGAAAAGAGTGATAAGCACGTGCAACGGGTTAGGGCTTCAACGTCAGTAAGGCCAATTCAAGTTGTGCGAAACCCAACGATCGCCGACGAAGTAAAACGTACAGAAATTGAGCTAGCTGTGACAATGGCGTGTCATTCTTCTATTCTAACCATGGATCATCTTGGGGAGATTATAGCTCGAAATGCAAAGGGAAGTAGACTCGAAAACATAAAGATACATCGTACGAAATGCACTAAAATTCTTACCAATGTAGTCAGTCCTGCACTGAAAGAAGAATTAATTGCAGATGTGAAAGGAAAGAAGTTCTCTTTAATCGTCGATGAGACTACCGATGTTTCTACAGCCAAACAGCTCTGTGTCATCATTCGGTATTACAGCAGTGTGGAAAAGAATATCGTCACTGCCTTTGTGGACCTGGTCAATGTTGCTCGTGCTTGTGCAGATGACCTTTTTTATGCCATCCGAAATTGCCTTCGTGAAATTGACCTTGAATTAGTTGACTGCATTGGGTATGCCAGTGATGGTGCTTCTGTTATGGTCGGCAAACATGACTCAGTGTGGACAAGGCTTGAAGCTGTTGCCCCGAATTGCATCAAATTGACGTGTATCTGCCATTCGTTGTCGTTATGCGTCCAACATGCTTTTGAAAAGCTTCCATCCAGCCTTGGATTCCTTCTAGCAGAAATTCCAAAGTGGTTTTCCAAAAGCACTATACGACGCGAAGCATACAAGTTACTTTATGAAACAATGAGTCCCGATGACGACCAATTACCACCATTTGAGAAATATTCAGCAACACGTTGGTTGGTGAGAGGAAAGTTGATCTTCCGTCTTTTGGCTAATTGGAACGAGCTCCAAGCTTATTTTGCTGTAGCAAAACCAGCAAGTACACAGAATGCCCGTTACAAAGCACGCACCCTTTTGGACATGCTCAACGATCCAATTGTCTATCTATATTTTCATTTCGTGTCGCCTCTAGTCACTGAATTCGAACGAGTAAATGCATTCTTCCAAGCTACCGATGCCGATCCCGAAGAGATGTTCACTGAATTAGATACACATCATAAGTCTCTGCGTGGAAGAGTTTTCGACATACAAGGCAAGCAATTTGCCATTGAAAAAGTAGATTTTGGTGGTAAGTTCTTGTGTGAAGCAACAAAATATATCTCTTCTCAAAAGAACAAGGTTGTTGCTCAAGCTAAAGTTCTTGATTTGAAAAAACGATGCTTAGATTTTCTTATCGAAGCTTTAAATCAAGTTGAAATGCGTCTACCTGCCACAAAAGACATATTCAAAGGATTAAGCGTCCTTCATCCAAGAAAAGTATTAGATGAAGAAACCAGAGCTCCTTTATGTCAGCTGCCACTTCCACATCTACGATATGAGAAACTCAACGAGATCGAAGAGCAGTACCGGAAGATCGTTCACCGTGACTGGAAAGAAGATTCAATCTTTGATGGAACTATTCCAGATACAGCGGCTGCATTTTGGTCATGCATTGTCGACTTTCAAACTTCACTCGGAGACAAGCCATTTGAGCAGTTAGCAACGTATGCTTTGAACTGTCTCACTGCTCCCGTAAGCAATGCTGTGGTGGAGAGGACATTTTCCCTGTTAGCATCAATCAAGACTAAACAGCGCAACAGAATGAAACAAGAGTTGATGAAAGCCATAATTCGCATTCGCTCAAAGCTTCAGTTTGGAGAAAATTGCTGCGTGGACTTCAAGACAACCAAGCGAATGCTCGAGTTGTTTACGGCCAAACATATGTACGATGCTCGAAAGGAAACAAATTGATAGTTGACTCGACTTGTAGGACATTTGAGAGTGACATTCAGAAGTTTATATTGACCCCAGTATTGGTTGTTTTCATCTAACGTTGTTTACCTGTTTAATTCAACAGATGTCAACAGTATCAGTGTATATAGTTATTGTCAGTCATAACTTTATACTTTCATGTCATTATTATTTAATTTACTTCCTATTACGAGCCTCATTCATGATTCCTGATTGTCCAAACTCTTGTTTGATGATTTTAGTCAAGCTTACAGGGGGGAGGGCACAAATCCTGCGTTGCTGGTTGTTCTAGCAATTTGGCCTCTTTTGTTGAAATTTGGCCTCATTTTCTACCGTGTTTGGCCTCGAGCATGCGCAGGAACCTGGCAACCCTGGTCTACAAGAATGTAAATTCGAGATAAGATGGCGTCTACTTCCTCTGGTAAAACACCTAAAGGAATCTTAAAACAGACTAATTCTTTGGAGGATCAGAGGTACATTAGTAACTTCTATAAACTTATATTTTTCGCTAAAAATTAAAATAAATACGGTGGTGTAGATTTGATTATTTTTGTGAAAATGTTTAAACTAAGTCAAAGTCAAGGACTCTTAAGTTCTTAAGTATCTTTACACATTGTCTGGCTTTAAAACTGACGAAACAGACTTTCATAAAAGTATTTGACTATCAGTCTTGTACGCAAATCTTTGTCATAAAACACAGTGATCTGCTTTGAAATAAATTTGAAGTGGATAATTTGAATGATAATACTAACAAACAACGTACATAGCGAAGCTAAATGAAAGTAATTAGCGAAACGTCAACTTAAACACTTAACAACCCATTTTAATACTTTGAAAATATTCATTTGTCAACAAAACATGCAAGGCGAACATCTTTTATTTTCTTATTTCCGACTTCCAACTACAAGATGTAAAAAAACAACAAGTTAACAACCCATTGAAATCAGTCGAAGTTTAAAGTTTGCATGATTCTGCAGTATTTATTCAGAAATTTCAAGAAATTTCAGGTTTGTTAGCCACAGTTTGTACATATACCTTTTATATAAATTTTCCTGTTTGGTCAATGATTAAACTGTGTGAGTTTCACTACAGCAAGATCGAACAATAAATACTCTTTGTTCTGCAGTTAATAAAACACTGTATTAATCTACTTATTTAACGTATAGAATTTGAATTTATTTTTAAATAAGGTGTCAGAAGCAATGGTATGATCTATGAAATTGGCTGCTTTTCAAATCAAAGTTTCGCAGTTTATAATACACCAAATTGTTCACTGTCATCATAGCAGTGATCGCCACATTTACTAGTGTGTAGTGCTGTTTGAGAAGGATTAATCCAAGAACTCTTACCTTTGTTTATAGTGTGGAGGTGCATTTCGATGAAATGAACATTTTGCAAACATATCATCCATCAAACAAAGATTATGGTCACATGAAGATAAATGAACACGCTTTACAGTTATTCTTGTGAAGATTCTGATACTGAGTCCAATGAAAACTAGATCCAAAAAGTTGGCAGAAAAGTAAATTATTGAAAGCTTTGTGTTTCCAGTTTACTTTCTCCTTTTCAATTTTTTTCCATCATTGGTATGAACATGAGAGCAAATACTGTTGTTTCTTTATAGAATGCAAAATGTTGAATCAACGTCTAAACATGAATCGTATGACAGAAATGAAAGCAGTTCTGATGAAGATATGGATCTGACAGAAGAAGAAAGAAGTGAGTTAATGACACGAGCTTTAAATTTGAATTCAAATGAAATGAACCAATCACACAAGGAAAACGAGTCACATTCTATAACAAACTCATTGCTATTTTTTATACATAAAATCTCATTGTAAATCTTTACATTTTATTATACATATACACAAATAAGGAATTTGGTCATGATAGATAACATTTTACCCTCCAGGCATAATAGTATCTTTACTCTAAAGAAAATTTATAACTCATCAGTATTTAAACAATGTAATGGAAGAAATATCACATGGTTCTTAGGGGCTGTTAACATGAGCTCTACGTAATGGGCAAGCCCTCTCTGTTGGCCTGTATTTTACCTCTCTTTTACATGCGAATTCTAGCCCTACATGCTAGAGCTCGGTTTGAACAGCGATAAATCAGACAATGCCAAAATACATGGATGTTGATGAAATGATAGTTTGCTGGACATTTTTAAATGTTCTAATTTTTTATACACTGTAAAGCACAATATCTCCTTTTTAGATCTTAGTCTTCAATCTATATTTATACAAGAACAATTTACCTGTAACCAACGGATGCCACCTTTTCTTCTTCTTCATTATCTTCAGCAATGAAAGGATTTGGTTTATCAAACTTCTCCTTTTCCTCTGAGCGTTTTAAGACTTGCTGTGAGAAATTTTGGTTTATGAAAGTTGCTTCCAGACCAAGGTTCGTCGTAGAGTTTATGCTTTTCTCTGCATTATCATCTATAGGTGTTTCCACAGCTGTTTCATTAACAGTCAAAAGATCTAAAAAACGTAGATCAATAATAAAAAAACAGCTTGTTGTTTCTTAAATTATCAATTAAAACAAAAAATTTACAAACCAAATGCTGATTCATCTCTCATGTCAAAAAACAGAGCCAACACGCCAAAAACACATGAAATAAATACTTAATTTATAGTTATAAATATCACTAATAGTATATTGATAATTCTTGTAGATATAATGGTATCTGTAGCAAACAAATTTCCTTTCATTAAAATCTGGTAAAATCAAAGTAAATTGAACAATTAAGTTTTTCAATAAAGTAAATATTTTTACATTTCGTTCCTAAAATTCATTTGTAATATGCATGCGCTTATAATTCTTGGTTATTATTGATGGTTAATAACTGGTCATGATTGGTGGTTAATAACTGGTCATGATTGGTGGTTAATAACTGGTCATGATTGGTGGTTAATAACTGGTCATGATTGGTGGTTAACATTGGTGGTTAAGATTGTGGTTATCATTGGTGGTTATCATTATGATGGTTATCCAAACCATTTAATTCAATGAAAGCAAGTAATGTTTTCTTACATTTCTGATAACAGGATCATCAGTCATTGTGACTTTATGGAAAATCCTGTTTTGCAAGGCAAGTGGGACTTCATTCTTAATGTTGACACGATCATAAGCCTTGTCATAATATTCCAGTTCACCACATTTTACCCTATTTAACAAAGCACAGAAATGGAGAGATCTTCATAAACACATAAAAACAAGATATTATAACCTTCAACTCTTCCCGAATCATCACAGACGCATTACGTATCCTTTGAGGAGTCTACATATAAGTTAAACATATAGATATAAAATTACAGTATATCCATAAGTGTACCAGTCATGTTACTATATATTTATTATATATCCTCTGAGGAGTCTACATATAAGTTAAACATATAGATATAATATTACAGTACATCCATAAGTGTACCAGTCATGTTACTATATATTTATTATGTATCCTCTGAGGAGTCTACATATAAGATAAATATATAGATATAAAATTACAGTATATCCATAAGTGTACCAGTCATGTTACTATATATTTATTATATATCCTCTGAGGAGTCTACATATAAGTTAAACATATAGATATAAAATTACAGTACATCCATAAGTGTACCAGTCATGTTACTATATATTTATTATGTATCCTCTGAGGAGTCTACTTATAAGTTAAATATATAGATATAAAATTACAGTATATCCATAAGTGTACCAGTCATGTTACTATATATTTATTATATATCCTCTGAGGAGTCTACATATAAGTTAAACATATAGATATAAAATTACAGTATATCCATAAGTGTACCAGTCATGTTACTACATATTTATTATATATCCTCTGAGGAGTCTACATATAAGTTAAATATAAAGATATAAAATTACAATATATCCATAAGTGTACCAGTCATGTTACTACATATTTATTATGTATCATCCGAGGTGTTCATGGTTGAGGTACATCCGTTTGTGTACCATAATATTTTATGCAAGTTGCATAATTACTATAAATTTATAATGTATCCTTTGGAGTTCAAAGTTTACATACATGTAACACACTATCACAATTCTTTTGTCCACTTTCTTCACTGAGGTTGCACCTTAAAACTTACCCTCCCTCAACTAAGTTTATTACAAACCTGATTTCTACGTTCCGGCCAGTTGTTTCTATTGGCAAATTGTTTCTGCAATTTACGATGGAGTCTGTTGTCACGAGTCTTCAACAAATTCTGCATCCCAGCTTGCTGACGTTGCATTTGACGCTCTTTATCATGTCGATTATTCCTTTAAAAAATAAAAAATTTTTATGTTAATGTTGTTCATATGAAAAGGAGTCATTTAGATGAAGAAATTTACAAATATAATACAGAAGTGATTTTATTTTGAGACTTAAAAGTATAGAAAAGTTTCTATTGTACCTGATTGAATTTTTTCCTATTGCGCATGTAAACAGGCTTTTGTGGTCGACTTGTGTCAACAAGATGGAAAGTTGATTCATCTTCTTTGTGATAATATGCATATTGATTACCATCACCAAATTGATTTAAATATTTATCTATAGAAGTAAAACAATATGATTAAACTGCATGAAAATAGTGAAGTCTAGACAGAATACAAACTTTGGTATCAACGATCTTGATAGGCTGTACTTGACCAATCAGAAACCTACATAAAATGAAAATGTATGTTATAAGACCTATATTTATACAGTCAATACAAGAAATAATATTTTATCCTCTTATAAGTGTAGAGTGGTTTTTTAATGATGACTACATAACAATGTTTTACAATAATAGCTAGTAAAATATGATTATAAATTTCACCACGTGACACAAAAATATAAGAACAACTAAAGGTCAGAGTGGAAGACATTGATGGCAAGAAATTTTTTTATGAAATATAAAATATTTTACCTTGCCAAGTTTATCTCCTTTAGAGAATGGTTGATAAGGTATTCCTTTAAATGCATCTGAAATAGAGGTAGGACCCCAGCCGTTTGGGTTATCTTCAATGACAGGAGGAATAAAATGAATTCGTTCAAACGCAATATTGAATATTGACTGGTTTGCATGTTTCCATCAGTCAAAGGTAGAACGTCATCATTGTTTGTGACCGACGACCATACCGACGACCCGATGACAATTAATACCAAGTTGTCGGAAATCATTTTCGGTATTGTTTTACTGAGAAAGCAAACGATTGCCTCAAAGCTGCTTAAATATTGTAGTTTCTAACGATAAAATGAAAAAAAGTTTGACCAAATATTGCAGTGGAAACTGTGGTATAACAGTGGTATCTTGTTAAGACTCTTCAAGATGCTTTTTCCAACATTCAGATTTTTGGTTGTAACTGAGAAGCAATCCACGAAGGTGTCTTCAAGTTGCATAATGTAATTTAAATATTACGATGAAGGAGCAGTCAGCCCACCAAAGTTGAGTTCTTTATGTGCCTTGAAATAGCAAAGCAAATTACCATCGTTGTTTATGTTATTTGAAGTCAAAACGTTCTTACATTGGAGACAGCTGTGGATTTTGAAAGCTTTGCTTAGCAAATATCCTGGAACATAGGCAGCAGCATTTTTGAGCAATAAATTGTTGCTAATATTTTGTTCTCGGTAGTCATTTTCACCAATCAACTGTGAGTTACTTGGAGCTTTTGCATGGGTAAGTGGCATACTAAATGGGTTGGGCTTTTTTTTTATAATTGTGTTAGCAGAGTGTGTATATCTTTAGAACAGTTTTCTTTCGAAGAGGTCAAAAGTGAACTGAAAAAAACCTTTCAAAAAGTCCTGATAAATTGTATTGGCGTGGGATTGTCAAAATTACCTCCTTGCTGGCGTATTGTTCCAAAAAAATTCTCTAGAGCATCTGTGTTTAATCTTGAACGTCAAATTTTTCACACGGCCACGGCACAGCATTTCTCATACAGGTCTCGATAGAATTGTACACATTGGTTGTACATGAAAAAGCATAAAAATATGTTGAATGTATGTTCTCTTTTCAGCACAATACTGAGGGTAGGTCTTGATTGCGTTTATTAACAACAGCTTTGATTTGGTCGTCTCAGGATAAATATTTCAACTTTTCAAGTAATAACGCCAAGATTTTTGAGTTGTAAGTTTATCTTGCTGCCATCATGGCGGAAGTAGCGCATGCGCATTAAAATTCAGGACCGCATTTTTTTGCTAAGTGGCCCTTCTGTTACGTTATATATTATTCTGTGTCTTTGTATTACATAACAAATGCCCAACGACGCAACGTATTAACTCAAACGACGCAGACATTTGACGCTTAACTCTTCAGAACGTTGAATTTATCTGAAAGATTGAATGTTCAAAGTTCCAACCGTCGACCAGCAAAAGGTTTGTAAGACAAAAGATAAAGAATTATCATGTGTGTTTACGATGTATAAATGTGACCTTAAATACAAAATGTTTGTCATATTTAATTAATATATTTTTACTAAATATTAGTCACACCTTAGTACTATGAAATATACATCATAGATACCCGTAGCAATTTGTAATCCTGTAATTGTATACCAATCAAACGAAGTTGCAAAATACAAACAATTTACTTACGAAAAATAATTACTGCGATCGAAAGGAAGGCCTGTTTATCGTTATGTGTTTGTTTGCCAAGGAATTCAAATTGCTTGCTAGCATGCAATTTTATTCATCTTTGGGTCCAGACGGTATATTTATAAAATATGTGTTATTTCATTATACTTGTGATCGGTGGCGTAGCTAGCAGGGTTGCCAGGTTCCTGCGCATGCTCGAGGCCAAACACGGTAGAAAATGAGGCCAAATTTCAACAAAAGAGGCCAAATTGCTAGAACAACCAGCAACGCAGGATTTGTGCCCTCCCCCCTGTAAGCTTGACTAAAATCATCAAACAAGAGTTTGGTCAATCAGGAATCATGAATGAGGCTCGTAATAGGAAGTAAATTAAATAATAATGACATGAAAGTATAAAGTTATGACTGACAATAACTATATACACTGATACTGTTGACATCTGTTGAATTAAACAGGTAAACAACGTTAGATGAAAACAACCAATACTGGGGTCAATATAAACTTCTGAATGTCACTCTCAAATGTCCTACAAGTCGAGTCAACTATCAATTTGTTTCCTTTCGAGCATCGTACATATGTTTGGCCGTAAACAACTCGAGCATTCGCTTGGTTGTCTTGAAGTCCACGCAGCAATTTTCTCCAAACTGAAGCTTTGAGCGAATGCGAATTATGGCTTTCATCAACTCTTGTTTCATTCTGTTGCGCTGTTTAGTCTTGATTGATGCTAACAGGGAAAATGTCCTCTCCACCACAGCATTGCTTACGGGAGCAGTGAGACAGTTCAAAGCATACGTTGCTAACTGCTCAAATGGCTTGTCTCCGAGTGAAGTTTGAAAGTCGACAAAGCATGACCAAAATGCAGCCGCTGTATCTGGAATAGTTCCATCAAAGATTGAATCTTCTTTCCAATCACGGTGAACGATCTTCCGGTACTGCTCTTCGATCTCGTTGAGTTTCTCATATCGTAGATGTGGAAGTGGCAGCTGACATAAAGGAGCTCTGGTTGCTTCATCTAATACTTTTCTT